AGGGCCTGCGGGCCGGTACTCATGTCGCTTGCTACCGATGACTGGGTGAAGGGTGGCACACAGTGGCCTGCGCCTTTCCCAGCGCCAGCAGCATGTTGTTGGTCATGTCTGGGACGCCCATGGCGCTGCTGCGGCGGTGGCGGGGTCGTAGCCTGCGGTTGGCTGTGGGGCAGCATGCTGGTGTGGTGGCTACTTGTGGCAGGTGTTGCTGCGGTGCTGAGTCGTGACTTGCGGCTGGCTGCGGCGGGCGTGGGGCGGCATGCTGATGGTGGCCACTTGTGGCAGGCGCTCCTGCGGTGGCTGGGTTGTGACTTGATGGCCTAGCATCCTTTGGTTGCGCGGGAGTCTTTGGTCAGATACGCTGAGTGTGGAGGGCGTTGCTTCGGAGCTGGCTTGTGGCCGGGCGGTGGGCCTGCAGGTGACTTCGGCCGCGCTGGTGCAGGGCTGTGTCCTTTCCCCCCTTTTCCCTTCTTTGCCGTCCTCCTCACACTCAGACTCAGAGTCTGAAGTCGCGTAGCGGCTGTGTTTGCCTTTGCCTTTCCCTTTGCCTCCTTTCTTCCCTCCCATGGCTGAGACACTCCGATCAGTTGCAAAGTGGCATGTGTGCTTGAAGCTCTGCCAGCGTTTATACACGTAGCGTCGCAGCTGTTGTAGGGCCCATTGACTGCCTGTTTTTGCAAGTTCCAAAAGATTCTTCATGTGTGAGCCACCTGTGCAGAAACAGTGATTGTGCCAGCTTGCAGCAAACTCCAACTTCTTTGCAGCCGACGCATGACCAGCGTTGCATGTCCATCCAAGGGACAGCCAGATGTTGCGACACCCTAGCGCAGTGGGTCCCTTAATGTCGGCCGTGAACATGTGCTGTCAGACACACTTAGAGTTGGAGGGCAGCAAGATTGTTGAACATCAGCTGCAGCACAACTCACAGCGCAAAGCGCATGGCCTGCGCTTCACAGTGCTCGTGCTGAGGACCCAACTGATCGCCTGACACCGTGGATTACGCTATATTCTGGGGGAAGCTACTTTAGATTTGTTGTTGAGAAACCTCAATGTCAAGCTTAGTTCTTAATGTAGCGCCGAGGCATTTGTGAGAGCGCCGAAAGCATTGTCAACTGTCCCAGCCTGTGGCTAGAGTGCATTTGCCAAGCTGCCAGAGCCTCACTGGAAGACCTGGCGACACGCCCGCTGCTCATCACAGGAAGTTTGTTGCGGGCTTCAAGGTTTCAAAACTCAAACATCATGAAAACAAGTGTTGGTGAGGAAGGCCAGTCTCAGGTTTAAATTAGCACCTTGCCTTCGTGGAAGAGGCATGTGGCGGCATGTGTGAGATTCAAGCAGGGCCCAACGGGGCTGGCAGAGCCTTGCTCGTATGGCATGCTGGCACACGCGCTGCTCATCACATCACGTTTGACACTTTGCAGCGCACGCTTCATGCAGCGCTGATGCTATGATGCAGTGCTGACGCTGAGAACCAGGCTGATTGCCTGACATCATGAAGCAGAGAAGCTCGAAGAGCTGTCAGTTCAGGTCGGAGTGGGGGAAGCGCCTGCAAGTTTAGAGCCTTGCCTTCCTGGAAGGGGCATGTCCTTGCCAAAGCCTAGCTCAGAACCAAGCGGACAGAGCGTTGCTCATCACAGAAAGTTCTGAAACAAGTTGTAGGCTTCAAGACCTCATAACTCAATCATCGTGAACAGAAAATGGATTGAGCATGAAACTGGTTGTGCTGAACAAACCAACCCACTAGACTACATGTTGAACGCGCCGCTTCTCACAGCGGAAAGCACTTCATGCAGCGCTTGTGGCGGGCTAACCGCTATGCAGTGGACAGCACTTAACGCAGTGCTGATGCCAAGAACCAGTACCAAACTGCTCGCCTGAGTCACGATGAAGTAGCCCAGCAAGCTGCAGCTCATAGTCCAGCGCCAGGTCACACTGGGGGCAATCAAACTTCATTTGCGAACGGTTCCTTATTATTCTGCAAAGCCGTATTGACGCAGAGCCTTGCTGACACGCCCGCTCATCACAAAAAGCTCCAAACAAGGTCTCAAAAAGCAAACATCATGAAAACCATATGGATTGAGTTTCATCTCAAAATTGAAACATCTTGGAAAGTAGATGGATTGAACATGAAACTGAAGGAGTCTCTCAGGGTCAATGTGCTGAACAACCTAGAGCCGCAACATGACATGTTGAACATGCCGCTTCTTACAGCGGAAAGCAATTCATGCAGCGCTTGTGGAGATAGCCACTTTGCAGCGGACAGCACTTCACGCAGTGCTGATGCCGAGGACCAAGCTGATCTCGTGAGTCGCGATGATAAAGTAGCCCAGGAAACTGCAGAGCTGATAGTCCAGGTCGCACAGGGGGGCAGCTTCAAACCTGTTTCTAGAAATCTCAGCTTTAAATTAGCCACTTGGGTTTTTGTAGGAGGCATGCGGGCGGGCACCCTTCTAAATCATAACAACTCTAAGCCTAGAGTGGTGCGCTACATTGACGACGCAGAGCCTCGCTGACATGCCCGCTGCTCATCACAGAAAGTTTGAAACAAGTTGTAGGTTTCAAGATATCTCAAGATTCAAGCATCATGAGAACCAAATGGATTGAGTTTCAAGATATCTCAAAATTGAAACCTCTTGGAAAGTAACGTCCAATATAGATTAGTGAACGGGAGCCCCCCCCCCCCCAACGATGGGGGCAATGGGGAATAGTATCTTGAGGTGGGTTTCCGTTAGATTTAGTCTTGGTAGACTTGAGTTTCCATTTGGTTTGAGATTTGGAACTGACTTTCCATTTGATTTAGTATTGCTGGAGCTTCCTTTTGAGATTTGGAGCTGAGCTTCCATTAGATTTAGTATTGGTAGACTTGAGTTTCCATTTGATTTAGTATTGCTGGAGCTTCCTTTTGTTTTTCTTGGGGGGGGCCAGGCAACAAGACTGCATTTCGGGGGCCCCTGAAATAATGCCAAGTTGGGGGCTGAAGTACTACCCCCTTTGTGGGTTTGATTGTTTGCAGGTTTTAAACAAGAGACATGTAAGAAAACATGGGTTTGGTGAAGCTGACAATTTTGGATTTGAGGAGCAGGCCCAAATCTAACAACACGGCATGAAGCACTGCCAGACTCACCTCGGCTGTCTGCTAAGAGGCATTTGCACTGGGTAGGTTGTATTTTTTCAGGGGGCCAGGCAACAAGACTTTATTTTGGGGGCCCCTGAAATACTGTCAAGTTGGGGGCTGAAGCACTACCCCCTTTGTGGGTTTGATTGTGGGCAGGTTTAAACAAGAGACATGTAAGAAAACATGGGTTTGGTAAAGCTGACAGTTTTGGATTTAAGGAACAAGGTGCCAAAGATCCAAGGACCAGGGGTGGCTATCTCTCCTCTCCTTCCTGTCCTTTCTCTCTTTCTCTCTTCTTTTTTGTGATTTTTTTGTGACTTCTTTTTTGGGACATTTTTTTCATGGGCGGGGGCGGGGGGGGGGGGTGGGGGTAGGGGCTTGTCTTTATTTCAGGTGCATTTATTAATTCTTTTGGGCCCCCCAGAAGTCTTTATAGCGCGTGCATTTTTTCAGTCGATTTGCTGAACAACCTAGAGCCACAACATGACATGTTGAACATGCCGCTTCTTACAGGGGAAAGCACTTCACGCAGTGCTTGTGGAGACAACCGCTTTGCAGTGGACAGCGCTTCATACAGATTCATACAGTGCTATTGATCTCCTGAGCCACGATGATGAAGTAGCCTTTTCTGGGAATCTCAGCTTTTTAAACTAGTCCCTTGGTTTTCTTTCTGAGGCCTGCGCGCGGGCACCCTGCTAGAGCAGAACAACTCTAAGACTAGAGTGCACAGCGGGTATACTACATTGACGACACAAAGCCTCGCTGACATGCCTGCTGCTCATCACAGAAAGTTTGAAACAACTTGTAGGTTTCAAGATATCTCAAAATTCAATCACCATGAAAACCAAACGGGTTGAGTTTCATGATATCTCAACATTCAAGCACCATGAAAGCCAAATAGATTGACTTTCAATATATCTCAAAACTCAGTCATCTTGGAACTTACTAGATGGATTGAACATGAACTGAAGGGGCCTCAGAACAACCTACAGCCACAACATGACACGATGAACATGCCGCTTGTTACAACGGAAAGCACTTCACGCAGTGCTTGTGAGACAACCGCTTTGCAGTAGACAGCGCTTTGTACAGTGCTGATGCCGAGGACCAAACTGACACTGACCTCCTGAGTCACGATGAAGTTGAAGGTTGTTCAGGAAGAAGTTGCAGAGCAGTCAGCAGGTCGCATTGAGGGAAACACCTTTAAACCTGTTGGGCGCACTGCGTTTAATCTGGCGCCCTACCCCCCCCCACAAGAAAATCCAACAATTTCAGCAAGGCCAGGTCCACAACTATAAGTCTCAACTTGACGTGGCAGAAAAAACAGGGCTACCTGAAGAGTCTTTCAAGCATTTTTATGATTGCAGAAAGACCTTTTACAACAACAAAGGTTTGGGGTTGCTTGCCAGGATAGCTGTTTTAGAGGACGCCTATGGGACGCACGTCACCAGTGGGCAGATTCTGGTCTTTGTGAGCTAAGCTCATCAGGGCCTCAAGCGTGAGCCTTGTCCATGTCAGGCCCCGGGCGTTGCATCTTGTTCACTCAGGTGCTCGACGAGCGTCGTGAATGGGCGTCAAGAGCTGATGGTGAAAGTGGCAGCCGCGCAGAGAACGTGTGTTGTCAGACTTTGAACCGTGCGTGTTTACTTGGAACGACACGCAGCGGGGAACTGCGCGAGCCTCCCCCATACGGGGGCAGTTCCTGTTGCATGAATCTTCGAAATGATCGCATGGGCATGCCTGTGCGCAGCTCCTACTGGCTTGCAGGTGTGACAGATGACAACAGTAGCTGCGCGCAACGTTGCCACACATGTGCAAAGCGCCAAACAACACGCTGCGCGCGGAGAATACAGTTCTGCAAGCCAGCGCAAACAGATCAGCTTCGCGGGCGATTTGAAATCGTACTTTTCCATAGCGCCATGGAGCCGCCTGAGGCCAGCTGCCAAGGGTGCGGCGGTCCCCCCTTTGTTTGGCGAGCGTCGTGATCTTCAAAGCGCGTTCAACATCGCGCCGAGGAGGCTCCACTGTTTGCACCGGCTGGCCCTTGGGCTCTACACTGTTTGACATCCATCACCAGCAACACCCCAGCATCATAGCTTTTTGTTTTTTTGGCTGGTGGCTTCTTACCTCCCATGTTTCTGTAGATGGCGGGGGCTGCGCCACCCTAAACTCACGTTTTTGCCCAAAACCACCCTAAACCAACCTTAAACACCACCAAAACTGGAACCAACCTTAAAACCAAACCCTAAAAGCCAACCCTAGAGAAACTCTAAAGTAACCTTAAACCAGCAAGACTCCCTAAAGAACACCCTAAACAAACGCACTCTAAACCAGCGAAACCCACTGACCCCGCCCAAACCAACCCTAAGCCCGCACTACGTTTGTATTATTCTGTATTGATGCTGGTTTAGAGTGGGATTGTATTCTACGACCCGCACTAAGCCAGCACAAAGCCATTGCTAATAAGCCTACCTCAAACCACCCCCACTAAGCAAACCCTACAGCAACCCCAAAACCAATCTCTAACCCCCCGTACATCAGCGCTACACCCAAGCTAAACCCGCTCTAAACCGACCCTTAACAAACCCAAAGCATACCAACCGGCCCCTACCCCCCCCAAAGAAACCAAACCAACACCAAACCATCCCACCTAAGCACAACCATAGCCTAAACCAACTCTAAACTCCAAAACCAACCAACCCCAAGAAGCCCGCCATACACAAGCACGAAACCGTCCCAGTCCTAAAGCGCAGCCGCCCCTAAACAAGCCTGGAACCCACCATCAACCAACCCTACCCGCCCTAAACGCAGCCTAACAAATCCAACTCGTCATGCTGAGGATATTGAAAGGATGCTGCCGAGTTAAAACGATGCCGGGGATGTTGACAGCGCTGGCGCAAAACGAGTCAAACCGCAGCAGAACCAAGGGAGATCGCACCTGCCAGTTCCAAGACAGAAAACCCAGGAAAAAACTAAAAACAAAACGGGGACAGATCCTAAAACAAATCGGGACCCTATTTTGAGCAGTCAGTTCGTCGGGCGTGCCCCAGCCAAGGTTTCCTAGAGTCGGGGCGTCGGCTCTCCGACTTGCCAGCGGCAAGCTCATGTGTTGCTTGGTGTGTGCTTGTTTGTTTGTTTGTTTGTTTGTCTGTTTGTTTGTTTGTTTGTTTGTTTGTCCGTATCTCTTCCTTTGTCAGTCTGTCTCTTTGCCTTCCTGCTTGCCAGCCTGCCTGGCTTGTTTGTTGTCTTGCCTGCTTGTTCGCTTTCTCGCTTGCAAGGGCGCGCGCTTGCTCACTTGCTTGCACGCACGCGTCACGCGTGCTTGTGTGTTTGTTGCGCTTGCTGCGTTGGCGAAGAAGACAGCGCCGTGTTGCTTGACATCATGATCATCACAACCAGCGCTAGGGGGCTTCAGGTTGCAGGGTTCAGAAGTGGTACGGGCAGTCTAGCAGCTTTGCGTCGGTTTGGAAGTTGGAAGCAAGTCTATGTCTTTATGGTCGCAGCCACATAGGATGGAGCAGTTTTCAAGGTCTTGGGCGCTCACCCCTCATGGGGCTCGGCCTTCACAAGTCTCGCGTCCCAAAGCGCTTTTGGCGTCACAGTTGGGGCCTGTTGTGGGTCGCTGTTGCCAAGACCCTGAGGAATGGATGGCTGTTCAGTGAATACCAGGCCACTTGCCTTGATACTGTTCTCAAGCGTGGCTCAAGACCTGGATACAGCTACACGTCCAAAGTCACACGAGTACGTTTCAATGGCGTGGTTTAGGAACGGATCGCGTTGACCCGTGGGTAGGCCTCAGGGAACGCATGCAGAGATGCCGCAGCATCAGTGCCCTGCGCAGACAATTTCTCCATGTCCAGCCTGAACATGTTGTCCCAACACTGCCTTGCCAGTCACCGCGCGCCAGCCAGCATGGAAATGCGGCACGCGCGTGCCGTGTTTGGCAGCACTTGTGCTTGCAGCACGTTTTTGCCAGAGATAATTTCTTATTTGGCCAGCTTGTTCGCAGGCGTGGCTGCGTGTCCCAAAACATTGCAACACGACAGGAAGCAAAATGGAACGTGCCAAATGGCTCCGAAATTTGACTCTCAAGCTGGAGGTGCAAAGGTGCGCTGCTTAATCGCACAGCGCGTGTGCTGAGAAGTCGCGACCCTCAACGTACGCTTTGTGCACCAGTAAGTTCGGCAAGGGGGGCGGAAGATTGAGTTGTAGCAGAACTATAGCTTGATTTTGTTTGCTTCTCGCCTTTCTCTGTTTCATTTTTCTTTGTTTTGCTTTTCCTGTTTTTAATCTCTCTTCCTCTGTTGCTTTTCTCTTCCTCTTCTTCTTTCTCCTTTCTCTTTCTCATTCTCTTCCTCTTGTTCACGAGCGCGGAAAGGTTTTGGTTCCGGGCCCATTGGAGCGGAGGCGCGCTGATCACGACATCAGTTTTCCGGGCAGGCGCAGCACTTTCTTCGCAGTGCCAGACGCAAACTTTGCAGCAGGCACAGCTCTCTGCGCAAAAGAAAGAGAAAGAAGCGCAAGAGAATGAAGAGAGAGAAAGACCAGCGCAGAAAGAGCAGGAGCAGAGAGAGAGAAAGACAGAGAGAAAGAGAAAGCGGAAGAGAGAGAAAGAGAAAGAGAGAGAAGCAAAAAGAGCAAGAGGAAGAGGCAGTTCAAAGCGGGTTAGCGGGAAAACAGAGAACGAGGGGGCGAGAGAGAGAGAGAGAGAGAGAGAGAGGGGGCTGGGAAGAATGAGAGGAAGACCGGCAGAGAGAAAGAAAGACAAAAGAAGGGGAGAAACGGAAGAATGGAACTGAAGTACAGACAGAGACAATGAAAGAGAGCAAGACCGGATGAAAGAAAGAAACCGCGACAGAGTGAGAAATGAAGGAAGGAAAGAAAGAAGGAACAGAAGGAGAGAAGAGAACAAGGAGAGAGAGAAAATAAACCAAGAAAGGAAGAAGGGCAGAGAGCAAACATGAAGGCAAGGACACAAAGGAAGGAAGGAAGGGCGGAAACAACTAGAGCAAGACGGCGGGGAAGAAGGCAAAGATAGAAAATCATAAAGGAACAAGAAAGCGACAGGAAAGACAGAAAGCAAACAAAGTGAGAAAGGAATGGCAAGAAGGAAAGAAGCAAGAAGGACATACTGAAATAGGACAGGAAAGGCAGTCGGAAGCAACTAAAGAAATGAATAAAGAAAGAGAGAGAAAGAGTGAGACGCGTCTTTGAATAAGCAGATGGCCTTCATGTGCTTAACGAAGCCGTGGGCAGTTGAGTTTCGAGTTGCGCTATAACTTTGATAGATGTTGCCCACGGTTGAACGGAAATCGGGTTTTTACAACCTCCGGAACTGCCGGAGCGCGTAGCTGCGGTCGCAAGCAAGCGTTCAAAACGTCAGCAGAGGGCCTGCGTGTGGAACATACTTAGAGCATCCAACGGTGTCCGTCGCGCGTCGTTTCTACACACGACGCCGCTTGACGCCCGCGCTTTGGCGGGAACTCAGACGCGAGGTGGCGAGATTCCGGCCGCGATTGACAACCGCGATTTGCGGGCTGGCTGCATTTGGAACCATCAGATGCCATTTGCGCAAAAAGGTGGCCGTTGGATTGTCTAACTGTGTCCGTGCCGTTGAGTTGCTGCGCAAGTCGATGATCTGGTGAAACTTGAAACGCTGAGTTCATGAATCGCCTGTTTCAGCTGCGAAGCACAGTGTTTTGGATTGTGGTTTGCGCGTCAGGCGTCGTCGTTTTGAGGTAGGCGCGCCATTTTTGTTGGCCTTGTCGTACAGTCGGCTCGCTTGTGCGAAATTGAAACGTGTCAACACCGGTCGGAATCATTTTGGCGCAGCCCCGCTCTATTTTTCGACGCGTGTTGTGAACGTGTCAATGTTGGATCTCGTGGCGCAGTCCTTTGGACGATTTGAATTCGTGGCGCGCTTCCTACGCGGAACGGGCGCAGCGCTGTAGAGCTTTGTGTCCGATTTGAGCTTTTCTTGCAGAACCCGTGGTAGGCGCAGCACTTTCGAACATGTGTGCAGGTTTTGTGGCAGGCGCGGCCGCCCTGAGTAGATCGAATCGCTCTCGCTGTGGCGTGCCCCGTGGGTGAGTCGAATGCCCTTCGCTGTGGCACGGCGCGCGTTTTGACAGCGCAAAGTGAACCCCCTGCGCGCCCTGGCTGGGTCGAATCGCTCGCTGCGGCGCGGCGCTAGCCTCGAGAGGGAGTGAGTGATTGCGATTGTCAGTGTGGGTGAAAGTGTGAGTGAGTGAGCCAGTGAGTGGTTGAGTGGGAGAGTGAGTGAGTTCTGTACATCCCTTTTTGCAAACCATGACAACACCTAAATCAAACAAACAACAGCCAATTTCCTGAAAGACCCGCCAAAAGTGTGCGGGAGCTGCTCGTGCACCTTCTAACACAAGTCACCCTGACAGCAGAGCCGGCAGAGCCGGTGGGCGGAAGTTTCTAAAGCGAGACAAGTCCCTATAAGAAGGGCTTGGCACGGGGTTATTTCTTTCTTTCTTTCTTTCTTTGTCTCTCTCTCTCTTTCTTTCTTTCTTCTTTCTCTCTCTCTCTCTCTCTCTCTTTCTTTCTTTCTTTCTTTCTTTCTTTCTTTCTTTCTTTCTGTATTTCTTTATTTCTTTATTTGTGTCTTTCTTTCATTCTTTCTTTCTCTCTCTCTCTTTCCTTATTGCTTGCTTTCTTTCTACATGTCTTTCTTTTTTTCTTTCTTTCTCTCGTTTTTTCTTTCGTTCTATATCTCTTTCTTTCTTTTCTTTCTTTTCTTTCTTTCTTTCTTTCTTGCTTGCTTGCTTTCTTGCTTTCTTGCTTTCTTACTTTCTTGCTTTCTTGTTTTTTCTCTCTCTCTCTCTTTCTTTCTTTCTTTCTTTCTTTCTTTCTTTCTTTCTTTCTTTTCTTTCTTTCTTTCTTTCTTTCTTTTCTTTCTTTCTTTCTTTCTTTCTTGCAGTCTGTATTTCTGTCTTTCTGTCTTTCTTTCATTCTTTCTTTCTCTCTCTCTCTATTTCTTTGTTGCTTGCTTTCTTTCTCTTTTTCTTTCTTGCTTTCTTGCTTTTTTTTCTTGTTTTTTTTTCTGTTTTTTCTTTCTTTCTTTCTTTCTTTCTTTCTTCCTTCCTTCTTTCTTTTTTCTTGTTATTTCTTTCTTCCTCTCTCTCTATCTTTTTCTTTTTCCCCTTTATTTCTGTCTTTCTTTCATTCTTTCTTTCTTTCCCTCTCTATTTCTTTCTCTCTCTCTGTCTCTTTCACTCTTTCTTTCTTTCTTTCAGGATCTCTTTCATTCTTTCTTTTTCTCTCTCTTTCTTTATTGCTTGCTTTCTTTCTACTTTTCTTTCTTTTTTTCTTTCTTTTTTTCTTTCTTTCTCTCTTTCTTTCTTGCTTTCTTGCTTCTTCTTTTATTGCTTTTTCCTTTTCTTGCTTTCTCTCTGTGTTTCTTTCTTTCTTTCTTTCTTTCTTTTTTCTTTCTTTCTTCCTTCCTTCCTTCCTTCCTTCCTTCCTTCCTTCCTTCTTTTTCTCTTTCTTTCTTTCTCTCTCTCTCTCTCTTTTGTTTTTCCCTTTATTTCTGTCTTTCTTTCTTTTCTTTCTTTCATTATCCCTTTCTTTCTTTCTTTCTTTTTGTCTGTCTCTCTTTCTTTCTTTCTTCCTTCCTTTCTTCCTTCCTTTCTTTCTGTCTCTCTTTCTCTCTCTCTCTCTCTTTCTTTCTGTCTTTCATTCTTTTTTCTTTCTTTCTCTCTTTATTTCTTGCTTTCTTGCTTTTTTCTTTTTTTGATTTTTGTCTTTTCTTTCTTTCTCTGTTTCTTTCTTTATGTCTTTCTTTCTTTCTTCCTTCCTTCCTTCCTTCCTTATTTCTTTTTCTTGTGTTTTCTTTCTCTTTCTCTCTCTCTTTTTCATTTTTCCCTTTATTTCTGTCTTTCTTTCTTTCTTTCTTTCTTTCTTTCTTTCTTTCTTTCTGTCTCTCTTGCTCTCTTTCTCTTTCTTTCTTGTTTTCTTTCTTTCTTTCTTGCTTTCTTTCTACTTTTCTTTCTTTGTTTCTTTCTTTCTTTCTTTCGTTCTATATCTCTTCCCTTCTTTCCTTCTTTCCTTCTTTCCTTCTTTCGTTCTCTCTTTCTGTCTTGCTTGCTTTCTTTTCTACTTTCTTTCTCTCTATCTATCTATCTATCTGCACTTTTTCTTTTTCTTTCGCTTTGTCCCTTTATCTCTTTGTTTTTTTCCTTATTTCTTTCTTTCCTTCGTTCTCTCTTTCTGTCTTTCGTTCTTTTCTTTATTTCTTTCTTTGGTTCTTTCTTTCTATCTCTCTTTCTTTCTTTATTTCTTTTTTTCTTACTTTCCTTCTTTCGTTCTCTCTTTCTTTCCTTCGTGCTTTCTTTCTTTCGTGCTTTCTTTGTTTTTCTTCCTGTCTTTTTCTTTTTCTTTCTTTCTTTTTTTCATATTTTCTTTCTATGTACCTACCAATCTATTTATCTATCTATCTATCTGCAACTGACCTTCTCGTCTCTGTCTTTCTCTCTCTTCCCATTTGATCTATCTATCCATCTATGTATCTATGACCTGACGTTGCGAATGTGCCGCGCCTGCCTGAAACGAAATCTGTACTTGGCCTGCTGCGCCTGCCACGAAATCTGCACCCGACCTTGCACGGGCACAAAATGCTGCGCCTGCCACGAAACCTGCACCTTAGGTTGCCAAAGCGCTGCGCCTGCCACGCAAAATGAACCTCCGAAAACCTCTGCGCCAGCATGACAGTGGGCAACATTCCGACCCCGTGGCGATCCCGCACGCTGAACAGGGGTACCCTTCGCGTGTTGCGCATGTCTGACTCTACTTGCGCATGTCCAACTCTATTGTTCGTATTACGGAAGTTTTCTAACTGAACTTGCTTTGATCATACAGAAGCCAAATCCAAAGGCCCAAGCGGAAACAACACCACCGTAAGGGTGCGGCGTACCTTCAGCTGCAAAGCATTGATCTGCCTTTGCGCGCCGAATGTCAGGTGCGCGCTTTCCAACCTAATGTGAAACATGATTCTTGGAGCGTAATGCCAGCCGCTTGACGCAGGCAGCAAACGCAAAGCTCCCAGCTTATCCCCGCCACACATCGTAACGTCATTCCGGAAAAGGTGGCGGCTGGGCTCTCCGTTTGACAGGTTGATGAAGCGGCTTTGGCTCTGCCGAAGGCCTGTGGTCTTGTCGGGCGAGGGAGCAGAGGTTTCATTTCAAGTGGAGAGCTGCCCGTGAGGCCAAAGACGTTTTACAGCTGCGCAGCTTGGGCAGCGCACAGACTCACCGAGTAAGACTGTAGCAGCTCATTCATGGAGAAATCGTGAACCACTGTGATGGGGATCCTGGCTAAGGGCAATTCCCCGTGGTGTACCGGGCGAGTGCCAAGGTGCAGCGCCCGCCTCAGCAATCTCGAAGCCACGTGATTGGGGCCCCCTGGCCCCTGGCTCCAAATAGATTTTTCGATTTGGAAGACACTAGTCTTGCGATGGGTGCTGAGGCAACGCGGCATGATGGATGGAGCCGCATGGCTTGGAAAGAGCACGGTGGTGAGTTTCTTCAAGAAGGTGCTCAATTGACAACCCTTTTTGGGCTGGTTCACTGTGCCGATTGCTGGCTGGAAACGCAGGCCATTAAAAACGCCGGCCTGCCAACATGCTGGACGTCAAGATTTTCCCCCCCATAACTTCACATGTTCAATCTCAAATTTGCGCAGCGGAGTCTACTGTTCCCCATTCCAAGTTTGCGGGGGGGGGGGAGGAGTGTGTGTGTAGTTGTTGCTGTGTCGTGGGAGAAAGAGTGTGCTGATCGTCCTGAGCAAGACAGAAGCTACTGCACCTTGCCGACTTCTTGCGAGGTTTACTTCGAGCAGACCATGGGAAG